TATGTCAACTAGTTTTATTCTGAATGACCTTGAGCGAATTACCGAATAATACAGACAGGTAACAAAATATACTATAAAATGGATAATAATTAATATTGCTGAAATTTTTATACAAACTTTCATTTTAATTTATCCTCGTATCAATCAATTTCAAGTCATTTCATATTTTTTTGATTGAGATCATGAACCGATTGATGTTAGACCACCATTGAAAACCTGGAAGCACTGGACGGCCGTTTCGTCCTATCGTGGGACTCCTCAGCAGTGCGCATCCACGATCCCGCTCGTGGGATTTGAACCCAGAGCCTTCAGTCTCGTGCACGAACGCTTAACCTACTGGAATACTGAGCCGGCATCCAATGGTGTTAATGTCTAACCTCAGCCATCCAGTACTTCCAGGTTTTCAATGGTAGTCTAACATCAATCGGTTCATGATCTCAATCAAAAAACAAACTTAACAATCTCCACAATCCCTAAACTGATCATTTCATATTGTTTTGATTATATTCAATTAAACAAGTGTAAATTATATGAAGACTACTATATGATAATACATAAGGTAATAGAAAATGAATTTAAATTATTTTGTGAGCGAACCCCCTCTTCATCTCTTTCTCTCTCGCGCGCTCAAAAAGAAAAAAATTTAGCATTGTTCACATGATATTCGAATAGTGACAAACTATTCATTGAAGTGTAACCAGTACATAAGTTAACACTAAAAATTATAAAAATGAAAAATAGTGACAGTGAAAATAACAGAAAATCTTTTAATGAAGTTAGAAAATTTATGAATATTTAAAAATAAAAGTTTGTTACTAGTGTGTTTTTCTATGATCTACTTGATGTGTACTATTAAGTAAACATTGGAAAACATATTGGTATTGTTAATCAATTATATAAAAGAGTCTTTATGTCTTTAAGAAAAAAGGAGAAAGTTTGAAGAACAATTATTTATTTATTATTATTATTATTTGAACACATAAATATTGGCACAAAAAGGGCACCTAATACATATGTGCCACACAAGTCACTCAGTCTGTGTGTGGGCTGTGATACTGCCCGGGTGCCCAGACTGAAGCAAGTGGTTTTCTTAGGGGGTCACACCCAGAGCATTTTACCTAAAGGTCTGATTCACACGGCAATGGAGCAACGTCAGGAGATGCAGTCCCATGGCAGCCGATAACCAATAACTGGTTCATACTCCATTTGTTCCCTCAGTATCCTGAAGCCGATGTGCACCATTGGTTTGGAATGAGGGTTTTCCAACTTCCCTAGATGGATCCTCCACATCCACCAACCCAGGTGAAACGCCGGACATTCGCTTTTCGTTCTTTCAATTTCGTAGACAACACCCCCGCCACGAGAAGGCAGTGGTTGTATACGGGTGGCCATGTGAGATCATTTCGAGAGGGAGAGCGAACTTTCCCCATCCTCGGCCGTACCAGAGCAATACTTTCATCGACTAAATTGTTAATGAACTTACAAAATTAACGAAAAACAATACAATATCTATGAATGAATCGAAAAGTATACGCTAGTTATATTACTCAACGTTCAACAATGAGATATTTAGTTCCAGCACTTCTTATCACTAGCCCTCACATAAAAGTATCTGTGGAGCAGAATCAAGTATTCTTTGTATGCGAGTTTTTAAACAAGTCATGGGACACTGTTCTATGGGAATGATACTTTTGAAGCAAAGAACTGACTGTCAAAACTCACTAATCGTATTTTAATGGAAATGACTAGCAATGAAGCAAATTGTTCTAAATACTTTCTGCATTATCTACTCAGTAGTAGCAATCAATTTTCCTTTTATTAAGGCTTTTGTTAAAAGTATACTACATTGACGGCCTGGAATGAGCCAATTAGATGTAAGAAACTGCCTTTCTGATTTGTCCACAAGATTTAGTGTGCAATGAAGGACAGTATGTATATTATAAACTAAGTAAGAATTGTCAATATCTCGTTCCTAAAATACTTGTGAAAGATAATTTAAAAAGTACCTTCTGTTCAATTACATAGTGAATGTGACTTGGCGCTTACGTTAAATTACGAGAAATGCATACCTTTAAGGCAGATTATCTAATGTAAGTGCTTATTGTGATTCAATTCATAGTCAAGGGTTTTTGTGCCTTCTCTAATTCTAATTTCTAGCTCTAAATCTTAAGCTTAGCTTTTATAAATCTATAAGCCAAAGCATCATACCATTATATCTGATGTCAGGTTTTGATGAAAACCCTAAGCATTATTTATAACTTTAGCCCAACTCTTGATACTTAGACTTAGATTTTCTCCGTTTACTATTTTAAATAAAGCAACGTGTGAAAGTTTATCATTCATATCAGAGCCATTTACCCACCGTGATTTTAATGTTTAGTTGCTAATTCTTTTATAGTTAAGCACTCTTTGGTTTGGCTAATAATTAGCTTAAGTTCGTCAGTATAGTAGTATACTATAACCAGGCTTTTTATTTGAACATTATTCTCTGGAAGACTTAGTATATAGTTTTTTGGAGATCCAAGGACTTCTGCTGATCAGTGAAATATTTTTTATGGTTATTTCTTGAAGAACATTCGTTTAACATATCTTCTTCAAGATACAACTCACCAAGTACAGATTCATGTACTTGAACTTGAGTCACACATTTTCATATGTATGATGGTTTATGATACTATCCCGCTGTCCAAACCGATGATGGACCAAAACTAGTGGTTAGAAAATGAATTCTTTTAGCACTAGGTCATCGCTTCACACACATTAATTAAATCACAATGAACAAAACTAATCAGCTGAACTACAATAATTATAAGTAAGCTTTATAAATAAACGTTATTACGCAAGCTGATTTATAAAGTTCATAGTTCAGAAATTGGGTTTCTATGCATTAAACCAGCTGCTTGATTTATTACACAAAATAATAATAATATTAATAATAAAACATATTTCAATTGTTGAGATCAATTGAAGCTAGACCACCATGGAAAAGTGGTGGTGATAGGGTCTCAACAATTGAAATTACTAAAATCTCCACAAAACCCCCTTCTGATAATAAAAGATATAATGGATGAAATCTAGTTTAGAAAAATGTTCTTCCAATGACACTACTACTAGTACTAACCCATATAACTATATAAAAGCTGTGAACATCAAAACGTGTCTGAAAAAGAGACAACAATGGTTAGAGTTTTTTGTTGACTAAACGAGATAAGCTTATCGGAGTTTGTTTGCTTGTTAATCAAAATTGTTTTGAGATTACAAATCACTGGATAATTCATACTGACAAAGTACGTTCAAATTTCATGAAACTATTGGTAATCTGACATAGATTGAGGAAATATTATTAACTAATAATCTCTACGTGAAAAACATGTATATGATCACAAAGATGCATGTACGAATTTATCAACTAGGACATACAGTGTACAACCTGTTCACAATTAGGTAAGTGAAATGATTATTTAGAAAGTGTAGGAAAATAATAACATCTGTGAATAAGATCCAAATAATGTATGAAACATATATTGTTTTAAGTCAATCAGTCAGTTAATCATAAACAACAAAAAACCTAGGAATTATGTATGTGTATCAGATCAAAGTGCCACCATATTAGCGCAGTCACATGAGACAAATCCCAAAGAAGTAGTTATAACAGTACTAGTTGTGATTAAAAAAATATTAGACATAATTGATATAAAAGAAGAGAATGGATATGCTGAGAAAAGATATGAATATCTTAAGGCAGAATAAACTAATCGGTGCGATTCTGAGTGGTGTCGCTCGTCTCTAAACCTTGATAAATGCGTGGGTTCCAACCAGATAGTCTGCGCTTACCTATACGTATGGATCGGTGACCTCATAGAATGACGCCACCTCTGACTTTCTTTAAGATTACGACTGAACCTTGTTGGATTATATCGACTTCTCATATTTAAGTTCTATGCGACTAATGATCAATATTAAACACATTGAAGTAGAATGCAAATATGAAGAGGAAGATTCCACTTAACGAGTAATAACAACTAAAATCTATCTAAATTTACTTTCCAGTTTATCGTGGCGACACATGCGTAATCCAAAAACTAACATTTGAGGTTATCATATTTCCATAAAATAAATAAACATGAATTTACATTAATTTTTATATAACGGACTGTAGTCGAAAACCGAAAGTAAAGTCCTAAATGACTGGAGAGTAAATAACCAAACTAATTTCCGTTAATCACCGATGACGTTTATTCTGTTAATATCTTGTACATGAGGATACCGGTTTCATTACATAAAAAACATACATATTCTTCTATTCAGTGGTCTTGTTTTTTACTTCGAATTATCCTGAGGTTACATCAATCAATCGGTCACATCGTATCACTGCATATTATCATAGTAAATCCTGAGCCTTTTTCACATACTAATTTTAAACAGTGCATACGCAAGAAACCATCGCCTAAAATAAATCTTTTCAGTTATATGGTAATTCGATATATTTTTCTGCGAATAACATTAATTTAAAATCATTGAAACAGTTCAACTATTTTCAGCAAATATGGTTGGTGGCTAGCAGTGGAATCTAGGACCGCGTTTCACCCTATTCGGGACTCGTCAGCCGGTATTGGTATTCACTCCGAGACTCGAACCCAGAACCGTTCGCTTATAATGCTTGTGAACTGAGGCAATCCGCACAGAATACACATATGAAAATAAGAGACTGATCAGTTATAGTCCTAAACATCAATGGGAAGATTCAAACAAACAATACAAAATATGTCCAACTGTTTATACTGTAAAAGCTGTTTAATTCTAACCATGGTAGAAAAATATCCCATGGGCCCTTGTAATTTTGAAAGTACTGCAAATATCTAGGCTCTTAATCCATAGAAGAAAACTATCAAATCAACAATAAATACTTATAAATAAATTTTTCCATATTATACTTGACGAAGGTAATAAAGTTAATAGGATGCATATTTATAATATAAAATTTATATATTTATATTTTTAAGGAATATTTACCTCTATCTGATCAGAATATACACATACACAGACAGACAAAGTACAATAAAAATTAGACACAGTAAGAAAAGAGGCGAAAACTCTAAGTTATTATATATATCCTAAGGGGAAGATCACACGAAAAATGGGATATGATATACAGCACAATATTTATGCTAACACTACTTAAGTTATAATTAATTTAGCCGATTAACTAATATTAGTTTCCACTCTCTCTCTCTCTCTCTATGACCAGGTTTTTATACAAATACACGAGTCCAAGTATAAGCGAGGAAATAAAGACAATAGATAGATATTAAATATGTATGTATAAGCGTGAAACAGAAGAAAATGGTGCAGAATACAAAAGGAAGTAATATCCACACGTCTATTTAATCTTTCAAGAACTGTGTCTTCAATGAAGAAAAATGTTGAAACTAAGATTTTTAAAATGAGTGAGTGAAGTTGTACAAAACAGAGGAAAACGGGAGTTAGAGAAGGAATAAAGTGACCTGTAAAAATACAAGATATTCAAGTTGGAATGATCAGGAAAATCCATTCTACTCAAACACACATACACACACACTAAGTATAACTACTACCACTACTATGAGTATACATTCTGAAAACCTACCCTATCTACATTGATATACACATTAACTACTAACCAATCAAAAAGATTAGTTGAAACAAGTGAAGGGACAGTAATAATTGCAATTAAAAAGTATCCTTTACTAATTTATTTAACAAAAAGTTAACAAAATAAACGACAAGTTTTTCTAAGAAGGCAGAATAATATTCACGAAGAAAGAACAATGGACATAAATGGAATAATAGTGTGAAAGATAAGCAGAATAGAAAGAAGGTAAAGATAAGTGGTTACACACTATAGTACACACTATAGTATATATATATATATCTAAATTTGTGAACCATCAAAAACCACTTGACTGGGATTATCATTAACAAGTGATGGATTGGACAGCCGATTAAAGTTTGAATTAGTAGTTGATGTAGTTTCTGTAGAAGGAATCACTGTATTAGTCACAGGAACTGATACTGGAGCTGATCGATTAGTGAACAATGAATTTACAGGACCAGTAGTTCGATTATGAGATGAAAAATAATTTGGATTTGAATTCAGTTGTTGTGGTTGCTTAATTGGTTGCTGTTGACGAGTGTTGAACAGACTAGCTAACGTTGCAGCATTTGATGAATTGACCGATGGTCCAGTAGTCAGGGAATTGGCAGTAAACGGAATAAATGGTCCTGATGTATTAGGATTATGATTATTCATAAGTGTTTGATGATGTGTATGCGAAAATGTTTGCTGGCCTTGTTGCGCCTGACGTGATTGATGTTGGTAACTAACTAACTGTTGTTGTTGATTTTGTGGTAATGGTGGAGGTGGTGGTGGAACATTACTATGCGAACCACCAGGTAAACCGATACTCACAAAGGCACTTAATGTGCCTGAACTAAGACGAAATGCTGCTGGTGCATTATCAAGATCTGAATATAAGATAGTCATTTGATGGGTAGACTTTTGCGCTTTAACAGGATCCCAAAAATAGTAATCACCTTGTTCAGAGTTGTTATCTGACGTGAAATTGGCACCCACTATACGAGTAAGCCATATTTGTTCTTTTTTATGAAATCGCCATTCACGTTGATAGCTTAAAGAAAAAAAAAGTCGAAGATAAGGAACATTTAGAGAATTATTTCGGAGGAAAACTAATCAAATAGAACTTACTAACAACGTCTATGCTGATTAAAAATACATTATTTGTATAAAAGTTAAGGAAATTATTGATAGTTCATGGCCTAAATAACGAATTGTACACAGATAACGTAATTTATCAGTTAAATCTTAAGAATTTGGGTGTAAAACAATTTTTTTATTTGAATTATGCAAAGTATCCCCCCAAAAAAAACCGTCATAAAATGACTAATCTGTAGAATACAATTTTATCAAAAAAGAGAGTTTGATGCCATTAAAATGAGCGCATATAAACAAATGTTTGGATTTACAATGAATTAAACTATATTTTTTTTACTAACTACGTACGACGTATCTATTATAGACAGAAGAATTAAATCAAATGTAATATAGCTAGCTAAGAATTAAAATAGCCAAGTTTGGAATTCACATGTACAGATGAAAATCACCAATGACTTTAGAAATCGACTATTTACTGAATAACTAGTTATCACATACAAGTATGGTTAGTAATCATAGATTCTGTAAATAATACTAATAGAACATGAAGAAGTAAAATCTCAGATGTTGGGGATGTTAGATTCCCAGACATCACTTGGTAAATGTTTTATTTTGGAAATTTGAATTTCTTGTTTTCGCACTAAAAGCGCACATTTTACCTTTAGATTGTATTTCCTATTTGAAAGGATGCTTAGATGTTATTGGTTTATTGCCCCTTTTCAATGCTATTACTGTCAAGACAGTTCTACTATATGGGGCAGAAACCTGGAGAACTACGAAAGCCATCATCCAGAAAATACAGGTGTTTATTAACAGTTGTCTATGCAAAATACTTCAGATCCGTTGGCCGGGCACTATTAGCAACAACGTACTGTGGGAGAGAACAAACCAGATCCCAGCGGAGGAAGAAATCAGGAAAAAGCGCTGGAAGTGGATAGGACACATATTGAGGAAAGCACCCAACTGCGTCACAAGACAAGCCCTCACATGGAATCCTCAAGGCCAAAGGAAAAGAGTAAGACCAAAAAACACATTACGCCGAGAAATGGAAATAGACATGAGAAAAATGAACAAGAATTGGATGGAACTAGAAAAGAAGGCCCAGAACAGAGTGGGTTGGAGAATGCTGGTCGGCGGCCTATGCTCCATTAGGAGTAACAGGCGTAAGTAAGTAAGTGAGTAACTGACATTCTTATTTATGTTGAGTGCTGAGAGAGACTATAAAAAAAAATAATTTATAAGTTCCAAGTTCACAATTAAATTCTAATTATAAACAGGATGTATTGAAAAGAGATTAAATTGATTAAAATCAATTCCAATAATAATTTGTTCAATATAAAGTAAATTATTTCTGCAATTAGAAATAAATTTACAATTTATTTCTTTACACATATACACACACACATACACGTGCGCGCATAGAATGCCAATTTGTGTAATAAATTTTGTAATTTTGTTCGACAGGAACAAAAAATTAAAAAACGACAAATACGTTTGTTATTTTGTCAAATTGTAAACATTTCCCATGAGACATCTTTAAATATAAAAATATCACTAACAGATAGAAAAAAGTGATTCCGACCGATAACATTTATACAAACCAACTAAAATGACATATTTTTTAAATTTAATTTTAATGAAATTGGACTTGAGTGCTGCCATTCTGTTGTTGTTACAGATAATACATGTTTCTGACAAATGCTAATAAATAAAAATATAGGGCCATATTTCAACAGCACATTCTGTCCAACGACTGCTTTGAATTGATAAAAAAATGCCTCAATGCTTTTGTGATAATACATAATTTATAAGTAACTCATTCAGCAGATATATGCGTATAAGCCACATCATAAATGGGAGGGCTAACGGGACTAACTGGTTGCCCGAACCGCAATAGGTGGGGCGGTGTTCGAAATAGAGACTTGATAACCGAAAACTGGACGTCCTGACCACTAGGTCAACGCCCCATTGTAAAAACAGGTAACTTGTTACATGAATGACAGATTGCAATTAATGCTTTAAGTTAAAGACTGGTTACTTTCCATGGACGAATTAACACACTTTGTAGTGCAAATAAATACTTGAACTAAGAAAAATTACGGAATTATTAAAATAAAAAAATATATATTGAATTTACAATTTCTGAATTCTAATTAAACAAAAACAGTAATAAACATAACCTACAGTTCTTTCGCTACAACCAACTGTGCTTCTTCTCGACAACAATTATAAAATAACCAGAACAATGTCTCTTCTGACAATTGATTCATAGGTGGATCAGGTAGACGATCTGTAACTAAATGTCGTATAAGATATTCCGGTGGAACAGGATAATCCATATCTTGTGGACGGCCAAAACAAGAATCTTGAAGAGGTGAAACAAAGGTGGTATGAAGTTCACTAGAAGAGGAAAAATTGAAAATAGGTGAAGTGTTTTACAATTCATAACTCAATATAATTGAGTCACATGTTCAAAGTATTGAGCCATAACCCTATCACTAAAAGTTGCTACTGAGCTGTTCTTGCCTCATAAGACTGTAATGTGTACTTTCTAAGTTAGTTGGATCGATGAATACCAGTTTATTCCCCGGAACTTTTACTGTGAAGTTTTTCTAGGAAATACTCAGTCAGTCAGTCAGTCATTTATTATTATTTATTTGAACGCATGAATATTGGTACAAGAAAGCGCCAATATATATGCGCCACACAAAACAATGGGAATTCGAAGAGAAATAGAAAGAAAAAAAAAAAACTAAGGAGCGCAAAAAAAAGAGAACAATAACGAAGAGATTGGTGTAAGGTAGTGTGGTAGTAACGAGGGAACGGAAAGGTACAATCAGAAGAAATCTTTCAGGTAAAGGAGACACAACCACTTTTTATGAAGAAAGTAAAAGAAGGTTACAGCAGGATCGCCACTGGCTTCTATTCTGAGCCATATCTGATAACGTCTCTAGCCACTGTGTAGCACCATCTCTCAGACCCCAACCAGGGAGTCGTGAAGGACCAACAAAGGCCAGTCCTTTGCAGCTTTCTTTCATGCCACGACACCATGTCATGCACTGACCACCTCTCCGCTTCTTCCAACCAGTCCCAGAGTCGGCAAATAATGCACGACGTGGAATTCTCTGGGACGACATTCGGAGAACATGTCCAAGCCACCGAAGTCGGTGTTTCAAGATGGTGACACCAATTGAATTATCATCTCTGTGCCCGAACACACGATGCCGAACCTCTGCATTACTGACATGGTGTTGCCACTGAATGTCAGCAATCCTTCGGAGACAGCGATGATCGAACACAGAGAGTCGTCTAACGTCCTCAACTCGGAGAGGCCAGGTTTCACAAGCATAGAGCAAAACTGCTCTCACCGACGCGTTGTAGATCCGACCTTTTACAGCCAGACTAACATCACGAAGGCGCCAAAGGTGGCCCAGATTGGCATAAGCCGCTCTGGCTTTCACTATACGTGCATTGATCTCATCACTCACACCCCCACCAGCACTTATGCAGCTACCCAGATACACGAACTTCTCGACTACGTCTATCTGCTCACCATCCAGGGTGAGTACAGGATTAGAATCCTGCCAGTCTTGTAGAAGTACTTTGCACTTCGAAGGTGCAAAGCACATACCATACCTACGGACACTGATTGCCAACTGATTAAGTGCGGATTGCATGCCTTGGGCATTATCGCACAGTAAGACAATATCGTCCGCATACTCAAGGTCGAGAAGTCTTTCTCCAGGCAACAGATCCACACCACCATTACTTACATTCATCAGAGCTGTTTCCAGAATGTCATCGATGGCAAAGTTGAAGAGGAATGGTGAGATTGGGCAACCCTGCCTAACCCCACTGCTCGAATGGAACAATGGAGAGAGGTGGTTGTATGCCCTCACTCTGCCTGAGGTGTTTTTATACAGGGCTTTTAGGATGTTAATAAACTTCTCAGGCACACCCTTCTTCAATAGACAATCCCAGAGAACAGTCCTGTCCAACGAATCGAAGGCAGCCCTGATGTCAAGAAACACTACGATTGTTGGCCTTTGATAAGTATGGCGGTGTTCTAACATTTGGCGGAGGGTGAAGATATGATCAATACATCCTCGACCAGAACGAAACCCAGCCTGCTCCTCGCGAGTCAATCTTTCTCGGGTTTTGAACAACCTACGAAGTATGACGGAAGCCAATAGCTTGGACGCAATCGGAAGTAGACTTATCCCCCGATAGTTGTTACAGGAACGACGTGAACCCTTTTTAAAGATAGGGACAACTATCGACTCATTCCATGACGTTGGTACATGTTGGTACACAGTCAGTCATACGCAACGTAAAACCTGACACGTGAGCATAGTTTCAACTTGTCATCCCAAATTACTGCAGCATGATAAAATTATTTCAAGACAAATCCCACAGTAGTAGTAGTAACAGGAAAGACTAGATGTGGGAAGAGGAAATAAAAAGATATGAGATATGGGGAACCAGATTCTAAAAAAGAAAGAGTGAATGCACCTCGCCACTGCGAATGATTCTAAGCCATGACACCAGAAATTTTCTAAACATTGGTTACGATAATCACATACCAACCAAGTAGTTTACACCTATTAGCATGACTCAATGTGGAACTTCAGAGGAAAACATCAGTTGGAACTCATCTAGATAGTTTAGAGCAGTAAAGAACCCAATTAAACTGGACAATGAATATGAACACTTCCAAATGATAATTTGATACTTTTACTTAGTTAAATTCCAGGTGGCCTGTTTGAATATCTGGGCTACCTGTTCCTGCCATCTGGATATTTCAACAAGTTATCTGTTTTCTTGTTTGTTTTAACACATTATTATGCCCATTAGTTGCATAACCTATTCAGGAGTGCTTGTGACAAGTTTACGGCATTTCGCTGTACAAGTTACATAAGAGCCTAATCAGAGACGTCGTGGTTGCTGGCAATATGCATCGAAAAGAATGTACATTATTCTGTGTCGATTGCTGAACTGCCAACATCTAACTGGCGACCACTCAATATTTACCGCAAGGGTCGTTCAAGAAATAAGAAAAAGAAGTTTGTTAAAATACTTTGTGCTGAGAATTCTATATTGTACCAAAAATATAACATTGAATAAAGCCAATAATAATAATAATATATGGTATTCTTAATGAATGTCTGGAATACTAGGAACTACCAATACTATAGTTGTGAGGATCAAAACAAAGAAAAACACTACTCAAACTACATGGGCTTTTACATCCGACGTCGATATACCGCAAAACATCCCTTCAGTCGCCCTTAAGACCGATGTTTGCTATTTAAGTACCTAAATCCGATTCGATTACACCAAAGAACGTTCAACTATACATCAACGACGAAAAAAATTATTAAATTTCCAAAATAGAAGCAGATTGGATCATTTTTGTACATTTACAAGAAATTTCTGTAACAAGACCTAGAATGATGTCTAGTATCTTAGTGAAAGCTTTTCAACTAACCTATTTGACTTGAGATGAAATCATTAAATACATAAACAAGTACTATAAAATGAGTTAAACTAACAGTAACAAGCTGATAGCAAACAAAAGTTTGATAATGAATGGAAGCTTATTAGTACTCATTACCTAGATGCTTTGTAGACCAAATAATATGAGACGGAAAAGTGCTATTTTGTACCACAATCTAATGTTAAACATATAAATTGATGACACGAAATTGACAATATCCGAATCCCCATGTATTTTCAGCAATATTATGGATTATTAGAACAAGAAAACAATATTGTCAGGCAAATAAAGAAATTATTCAATGACCTAATGAACATCTGTTGGATGAGGTGAAAACATTCCGTGTACGGTAACAAATCAGGTCCGAAGGATTAGGTAAGAGTAATGTAAACAAGAGATGTCATCCTGATAGACCGTTAAAGGTAGACATGGACCATGAAAGATATTTAGTTATTTGGTTAGTAAATAAGCAGTGATAAAGTTACGTTTACTCTTTAGCTGGGGAAACAATCAACGTAAATCTATGCCTAACTCTTAATTAACAAAATTTATATTTAATGACGAGAAGTTATCCATTAATTGATTTTATCTCATTAATGAAGCTCATGAATCTTAATTTCATATGATCATCCATTACTAAATTATTATTTATTTCTTTACTTGAAAACAAATATTGGTGCAAAGAGGCACCCAATACATATGTGCCACACAAGTCACTCGGTCTGTGTGTGGGCTGTGATACTGCCCGGGTGCCCAGACTGAAGCAAGTGGTTTACTTAGGGGGGCACATCCAGAGTATTCTATCTAAAGGTCTGATTCACACGGTAATGGAGCAACGTCAGGAGATGCAGTCCCATGGCAACCGATAACCAATAACTGGTTCATACTCCATTTGTTCCCTCAGGATCCTGAAGCCGATGTGCACCATTGGTATGGAATGAGGGTCTTCCAACTTCCCTAGGTGGATCCTCCATATCCACCAACCCGGTTAAGCACCGGACATTCGCTTTCCGTTCTTTCAATTTCATAAATAACACCCCCGCCACGAGAATGCAGTGACTGCAAATGGATAGCCGTGTGAAAGCATTTCGAGAGGGAGAGCGAACTTTACCTATCCTCAGCCGTATTTCTACGTATATCGTGTTACGTGAAATTGTGTATTAACAGTGCGGAATGAAAACAACTGACTGAAGCAGACTAGAAGACGAAGTACGGAAGAAATCCCGAGATTCGTTTAATTCCAGATCTACTAAGGAAAAGCAACGTTAAATAGGAGCAATCACTTAGATCAAAAAAAAAATAAATAAATAAATAGACTCTAGGTGATGGTGTACAAGCATTATTTAGTAATGCATAAACACAGAAAGAGTACTTTTAATAAGTGATATACATTGATAGTTCTTGTGATACAACCGAAAAAATTGAAAAAAACTATCCCTATAAATCTTCCTACTTTTTTGACAATCCTTGAGAAAGAGTGAGTAAACTACATGTTGACAAACATCATAAAGATAACTGTAAGATTCCTTTTGAAAAGAACTATTCAACTAATAGCCCCAAAATGGCCTGAACGGCCAAGGATGGGTAAAGTCCGCTCGCCCTCTCGAAATGATCTCACATGTCCACGCGTATACAACCACTGCCAGGGAAGTCCCACTCCCTGCCTTCTCCTACCAGGGGTGTTGTTTACGAAATTGAGAGAACGAAAAGCGAATGTCCGGTGCTTAACCGGGTTGGTGGATATGGAGGATCCACCTAGGGAAGTTGGAAGACCCTCATTCCATACCAATGGTGCACATCGGCTTCAGGATCTGAGGGAACAAATGGAGTATGAACCAGTTATTGGTTATCGGTTGCCATGGGACTGCATCTCCTGACGTTGCTCCATTGCCGTGTGAATCAGACCTTTAGATAGAATACTCTGGGTGTGCCCCCCTAAGTAAACCACTTGCTTCAGTCTGGGCACCCGGGCAGTATCACAGCCCACACACAGACTGAGTGACTTGTGTGGCATATATGTATTGGGTGCCTCTTTGCACCAATATTTGTTTTCAAGTAAAGAAATAAATAAGGACGTTTAAACTTACCCAGGTGTCTGCCAATTACTGTGTAATGAGGATAAATCTAATCCAGGAGCTAGCATATTCAACGTAGCATCATAATCACCAACGCGAATCAGCTTCAATAAACCTAACATTCCGAACTGATCACAAATCATATTTTTAGGAATATTTGTGACTAAATGATTAGGAAGTAACTGTATACCGTTTGAGGAGCCAACAGATTTAGAGGGAACATTTGAATATCCCGGCTGATTGCGGACTGATGATGGTCCTAAAACGTGGTTGGACGTATGGCTAAACAATCGTCTAGAGTTTGTAGAAGCAGGAGTTTGGGTTATGGAACTAGCCGACAAGGAACGATGAGCAGATGTTGAATTGACAGTTAAGGCACTCGTCGTCGACACTGTCGTAGTAGTGCTAGTGGTAGGTTGGTGCGAACCAGGTAAAGCGGGGAAATCCTGCTTAGAAAATTCCAGAGGAGCTGCCTGGTTATTTGAAGAATGACTAAATTGTTGATTTAATTGATTTAAACTCTGATCTATGGTTGAAGACCCTTTTGACATAATGGAAACATAGTTCCGCAAGGGGGGCTGGTTTGAGGAGGAATGAAAGGGTGCGGAAGAATTCCCACTCCGCCCAGTAGATGTTAAAATTGGAGGGAAATCTGAAGGATCTAAAGTAACACCACGTGAAGACGAAGATAAAGAAAGGTTTGTGGAATTCGAAGAAGTATTTTCATTTCCGATTGAGTTTGAGTAAAGATTTCCAGGGTTACGAGATGCCAGGGCCATAGCAGTGTTTATAGGAACTGACGGGGTAATACTTCCGGGCCCAATTCTGTTGTTTGTTAAGTCATTCCCAGCTGTCCGATTGATGGTGGATAACGAAGAGAAAAGAGAAGGTTCAGAGAAATTCCTTGCAGGACCAGTCTGACTATTATTATAATTCAATGCATTGAAATATGAAGGACCATTTTCCAGACTAGAATCTAGTGCAGTAGGATATGTTGTTCTTCCAGAGAATGCATTGGGTATAGAACTGATGAGCTCACCATTACGCTGAGAAGACCCAGGTCTAGAATTATAACCACTCGTTGAAAGCGTTGCAATATCACTGAAACTAGGTGCCCCAGTATTCACCGGATTACCAGCACTAAACAGAGGCTAGTCCAAACAAAATAAAAACAAAAAAATGACATGGAATGGTTTCAAAATTAATCTAAGCTACAAGTATTCTACATACCCATCAACCTAAATCATGATTTTTAACACTACATTTAAAATGGATCGGACCTAAAGAAAGCTTAGAAGTGCATATTCGTGCCGCTTTTATATATCTCAAAAGCGGCGATAGATGGTGCACAATGTTTCATAAACAAGAAAAGATGTATGTATAGATATATTATGGGCGGTTAAAAAGACCTTGATTAATCAGTAGCTGAGAAGCTAAACACAAGTTTGTTTTGTATGTGTTAAGTCAGATCATTTATGGCAGTAAAATGAGTTTTTCACTGACTTCTATGACTAGTGCGACGGAACCATTAAGTAACCAATGAAGCTCACCTGTAAAGCTATACACAAGGAAAGATGACAAGCTTCCGAACTGAAGCAAAATAAGTTGACTAAATTGTCATTTGAAACAAGTGACCTTCGGTGAATGAATTAGGGTTAGGTCTAATTGCATCTAACAGTGATTACGTGTTAATAGTTACTAGTGAAGCTAAAAATCTTATTGAAGTTAATATATGGAATCGCGGCCAGAGTTATGATTCGATTAGATGCACAACAGATTCTTGTTCAACTTTGTGGTCGACGTACTTTTAGAGATAACACTCTCCTCATCTAAATTTCCAGGGGTTGAACTTCTACCGGGAGGTTCACTTGTTGACTTAGAATATGCTGATGACATAGTTTTATTTGGTGAAGACGCTGACAAAATGCAGAGTCTTCTGACCACTCTAAGCAACAATGCGAGCATGTTCGGGATGCGATTCTCTCCCTCGAAATGCAAAATGTTGCTTCAGGATTGGGTTACATCGACACCCGAACTAGTGATAGGGAGTGAAGTAGTTGAGTGTGTCGACCGCTTCACTTATCTTGGAAGTCTCATCAGCCCTTGTGGTTTAGTGTGTGACGAAATCTCAGCACGGATACAGAAGGCTCGACTAGCTTTTGCTAACTTGCGTCATTTATGGCGTAGGCGAGATATCCGTCTATCAACCAAAGGACGGGTTTACTGCGCAGCAGTTCGTTCCGTCCTACTTTATGGCAGTGAAACATGGCCGGTAAGAGTAGAGGATATTCGTAGGTTACTAGTATTTGATCATAGGTGTCTTCAAAATATTGCTCGTATATCGTGGGACCATCGAGTAAGTAATGCAGTTGTTAGGAAACGGGTACTAGGTAAGGATGGCAAATCAATTGATGAAGTAGTGAAACTTCATCAGTTGAGATGGTTGGGACACGTGTTACGTATGCCCAACGACCGACTGCCTCGACGTGCTATGTTCAGTGGTATAGGAGTAGGTTGGAAGAAAGCTAGGGGCGGCCAAACCAAAACATGGCACAAGTCCATGAAGTCACTGACAAGTGGACTGAGTCATATTGGTAGGTGTAGACTACCTGGTTGGGGACCGCGAGATGATAGCAACCGATGGTTAGAGACCCTGAATGACATGGCTCAAAATCGTTTGCAATGGCGCAGGTGCATCCACTCTCTGTGTTCTCCCAAATTCTAATCTTCTGAATCCTTCATGTCCGTTTTTTCCTCTTTCCAAATTTATTTCACTGGATTATACTCTTTAAATAACATCTCCAAACCCTAATCTTCCCGATTACTGCTTATACTCTTATTACCTCTACCACTACGGGATTTGAATCGACAAGTGCATCTCTGTGCTAATGTGGTGTGGCAACTCGAACTGATGTAGGTACGTACGAAGTTCTACGTTGTTACTGACTGACTGACTGACTGACAACAGATTCGGGAGCGCCAAACTGTAACGTAACAAGTCCAAAAAGCATGCTCAAAACCTTTAAGTGTTAACTTGTATCGCTGAATAACAGTGTAGTAGTTGGCTTAGGAGATAAGTTGTCGTAACCTCTCAAACATATAACAACATTATTCATTTAATTATCTAAGATGACATGATTTTCAGTAGGAAACGAAGTATATACAACTATTTGATAATCAATATATATTGCGTTAGTGGTGTTTGTCATCCAAATCTTCAAGTTACAAAAAGAATGGTAAGGTGTCTAACTTTAGACCGCAGATTTGTGATACGCTGGTCGAATCTCCAGGGTATACATCGACAGCTTCGTAGACACTAAACATCTAAATACCAACAATCATCAAGAATCATTATTTATCACCCTATGTCCCGAAATCAACAGTATTATTTTTACTAGTAAGAAATTTTCTGAACAAAGTACTAGTAACGAAATGAAGACAGAGTCAACCACGATGAATCGGTAAATGGATATTGTGTTGAGCTGTAGACTATCCGATTATAATCCAGGTACATAATAAAAATAACCAAAGAACTCTACACTAGGTGCTATCTGATTAAGACACTATGTGTGGAGGACTTTGAAAAAAGGTTATTAAGGAACTGGAAAGAGAACAATGCTGTTTGCTTGGAAACAAAGTTTGCAAAATTAGTATGGAAGCACAGTGAACTTGTGATTGTTCTTTAAAGTAATGAAGACGGTTACGAGGAAAGTATGAAGGGAAAACTTAGTAAGGATTCCAATAAACCGATTAGGTACCTAACTAACACCATAATTTACCTAGATAACTCAATGTCAAGAAAAAAAGGGATGAGAAGAGAACAAATGTCAATCAGAACGCTGGAAACGGATGTAAATCCGAACACATATGATAAAAGTGATTTATGAAACTTACCCTTTTTGTGAAATTGCTGCCGTAAGTGGCGACAGGTTTATTGTAATCATGTACCATAGCCCTCCCCATATTATATCTGCATGAAACGTAAGTGAAGAAATATGCAACATACTGAGTCTGAGTGTTCCAAGGAACAGAGTGGTCAGCAGAAGTGAAACGCCTAAATATTTTAAAATTCGAAGTTAAGGGTGTAGTCAAGATCTTACTGTCCTATTCCTGCCATAAGCTGTATTCATTTGGTAGAATTAGCACTGTGAGTGTAAAGGACGTAATAAAGATGAGTACCCCAAATTAATCACAGTAAGACCGGAAAGTTTTATGATATTGCTTCTCGCAGTGAAGAAAGAGGACTAGTAACAGAGACAGAAAGAAATACACAAACGTCCTATTATGCAAACCCAATTGTGGAGCTGCCGCCATTCATAATCAGTCACTTAGAAGCAACGGTCTTTATGGCGTAATTTGTGTGTCGGATAAGAAAGAAAAAAGGAATGAATGGCTGAAACCTAAAACGATGATCAAAAAAAACTATTTGGGCTGATTTTAACAACAGAATTACTAAGTTTTTTTCTAGATGATGAAGCGCGAAATTTGAAAACACTCTATCGATACTGGGAAGTTGCAAATGACTGGTCTTAATACTATTCGTTTGTAGAATTTAGTTTCAAAATTGTTTCAACTTGAAAGAACAAATTATAATTAGGTAATCATTAATCCCACGCATTTAAATCTAAGCAACTTATATGGTCAATTAGTTATTGTTATGCCAACCACCTATATAAGATCTTGCTACCAGATAAGTAAATTTTCCTTTTTGTACACTATCTGTTGTGAGTGAGAAAATCCCAAAAATTATTACTGCTAGTGAACCACGGAGTTAGGTCCCACGGCGTCCAGTATGAGGTCAATTGTTTATCCGAATTGGAATAAACGGGTATATTCAGAAGCAATCACTTTTATTTACGATGTATGGACGTAAAAGAAAGCATATAATTTAAAGGATATTTAGAGACTTGAGGAACATCTTAATCGTTTTCAGATCCAGAAAGAATAAGTTGACTTTTGCCTTTCGAAAATGTAAGCCAGTACATCTGTGATACATTGCAACTACCCCATTTATTCTTAATAATTTATTGTTAAAAACATCTTTGTCTGGAAAAATTTAGGTTTTTCAGTTGCTTACTGTTTAAATCCACATCCTATCTGCTAAAATGCCCTGTAAACAAGTACTCCACTAGAAACCATGACACATATTCTGACCAGTTTAATGACGTAAGTTTACATTTGTTTTTAATACCCTCATTTATTAACACTTGGAGTGCGTAGCCACGGTATGAGAGTAGAAATGATAAAACGAAAGTCTCATTATTTGCTTCCTTATTCTTTTTGGACATTATATTCCTTACTTCCTTCTATTGTATGATCAAATGATATTTAGGTTTGTCTAAAGTCGGTCCACTCGACTTCATCCTCATCTTGGTGAAAAAATCTCTGATTAGGCTATTGAAGCTACTTACTAATTTTTTAATAACGATAGAATGAAGATAAAAGTAGAATGGGTCTTTCAGCTTTTGTGTGCTGACCACGATGATTGATGCTTTTGATCAAAATTAGAGGGAGTATAATTCTAAAGTCGAAAAACAATCTTTCCCGAAAGCTAGGCTTCAAACTCTGCTTTCATTACTACGTGAATCAAACAAGTATGTTATGCCCAACTTTTTCAGTGTTTATGTCCAAATTTTATGGGATCCAATCAAACGAAAATAAACCTAACAAATAGAACTTTGCAGATCAACGGAAACCGGACAGTTAACCTCGTTGCATTGGATTGCTAGGGGGTTTAGGAATGTTGCACATTATTCCTTCTGATAAACACATGGGTACTGTCGCTCAGTTGTTTTGGTATGTACAAACGGTGTTGATGTTACCTCGGAAGCGTTATCCTTGGATTACTCATATCCTGCTTTAGACATTGTACATAGTTGGCTATATCAGTTGGAACGCTTTTACCTGAGGTGAAAAACTCTCCTGGTAGACGTAGAGTGGTTCCATAAACCAATTCTGCTGGGTAGCATCCTATATCTTGTTTGATTGTTGATCTTAAACTCAACATGACTAATGGGAGCTTGCTGTTCCAATCATTACTGCTAATGACAGCTGCAAGAGAGGCTTTAAGTTGTGGATATAATTTCTCTACCATACCATTCGACATCGGATGGTAGGCTGTTGTGCGAATTCGTTTGGTTCCGAGGAGCTCTGTGAGTTGTTGGAAGAGGCGTCACTCAAAATGAACTCGTCTATCGGTTGTAATATTAATAGGCACGCCATAATAAGAAATCCAATGCTCTATTAAGGTTTTTGCTATAGTTTCGGCTGCAATGTCTTTTATGGTACTGTTACAGGCTATCGCGTGAATCTATCAATGCAAGTGAAAATGTAGCTAAAGCCATTCGAAATCGGCAGTGGTCCCACAATATCGACATGTATGTGCTTGAATCTGCCATCGGGATAACGGAAATGACCTACTGCGGAACTGGTGTGGCGATTTATTTTAACTTTCTGGCATTTTATACACTCTTGCGTCAGTTACGAATATCCCCGTTCGTACTTGGCCATACGAAACGCTTGCTGATTAGTTTGATGGTGGCTTTTATTTCAGGATGCGAAATATTGTACATAGCTTCGAAAATGTTTCATCTCAGTGGCTTGGGAATGAATGGTCGTGGTTGGCCCGTAGAAATATCGCACATGATGCTTACTTTTTCCGATGGAGTTTCTTCGACTACTTACGACGTTGTATTAGCAGACTTTAGTCTGTTTAACTCGACATCGATATTTTGTAATGCTGCTAATTTGTGATAGTCGATTTCGGATTAGATGAGAGCGTTTACCATCTTTCTGGATAACGCGTCTGCCACTTCGTTATTATTGCCTTTGATATACTGTATGTTAAAAGTAAATTGGGAAGTGAATTCTAATTGTCGAATTTTCCTCGGCGAGCAGTTATCCTGTTTGTCGTTTAGTGCTTTTGTGAGGGGTTTATGATCTGTATATACTGTGAAAATGGTCCCCTCAATCATGTGTCGAAAATGTTTTATTACTAAGTAAATCACTATTAGTTCTCTTCCACATGTGTTATATCTCGTTTGAGTAGGATTTAATATCCTAGAGAAAAATGAAGGCGGTTTCCATGTACTGTGTACTAACTGCTGCGATACGGCTACTACTGCTATGTTTGATGCGTCCGCCATGACGGCTAGTGGTGCTTGGTTCTTTTGTCGTACTAACATCGTCTTCTCGTCTAGCGCTCGCTTAGCGTTCTCAAAAGCCTGTATAGCATCCGCTGAAAGACGGAATATTCGGGTATGTCCTCGCAGAGCGTCCGTCGATGGTTGTAATATTGTTGCTCAGTTTGGAATAAGTCGTCTATAATAATTTATCAGTCTCAAGAATCGTCGTAATCTTCTTTGTGGCTTGGGCAACGGATAATTGCAAATAGCAGCAACTTCTGTCGGAAGTGGCATGATACCATGTGAAGTTATCATATGACCTAGGAGTTGCAGTGATTGCTTCCTAAATGCATACTTTTTCACATTAATAGTGACGCCACTTTCTTGAAGTTTCGTAAACAACTATCGTACATGTTGTAGATGTTCTTCCACGGTAGCGCTAGCTACTAGTATATCATCGATATATGCGTATACTTGTAACAGCATAGGTTGGTTGGTTAAGAGTTGACCCCAAAAAACCAAGCATATGCCAAAACAGTATTGTTCAAGTATTCATTCACTTCCTTATTTTGTGTAGGCGTTATATTTCCTATTCGCAAAAACTCAAATAATCATAATGGAGTGGTTACAGCCGTTTTAGGTATATCTTCTGCCACCACGTGAATATGGTAATAAACCCGAACAAGATCAGTTTTTGAAAATATCGTGGCACCTTCCATATTGGTAGTAATGTCGTGGATATTTGGTACCGGATAGCTGTCTGCTATAGTTTACTTGTTAAGGACTCTATATTCTTCGCATCGCCTGATTTCTCCAGGGACTATTTGATGGTCTTATGATACCGGGCTTCATCAATTTTTCGAACTCTCGTTTCGCAATATTCAACCTTATTGGGTCTAGCCTTCGTGATCTTGCGTTAGTCGGTGGACTTTTCGTTATAATATGGTGCTGTACAGTATGTTTAAGATTTCTGTTATCATATGATGCCCTCGTCGAATCAGTGTACTCATTTAGAAGCGATCTATATGGCTCGCTTTTGTCTTTTGACACTACTAAATTCATGGATGCACGATCAGTTGTCACTACTCTTATCACTACTGAATAACCTCCGTTCACGAGCCGGTTTTGTCGGGTATCCACTATTAAGTCAAAATTCTTTAAGAAATCAATACCAATTATAGGTACGGATACATCTGCGATAATGAATTCTCAGCGGAATAAAGTACTACGACCAAAATTCAAGGCTAATTTACGTTTGCCATATGTTTTTATTTATTCATTTGCTGCCTTAGGCGTAGGTGATGTATTAATATTTCGTGTTTCGTTACTCAGTGGAGGCACGACGCTTACTTCTGCTTCCGTATCCACTAAGAACTGAGCACCTGTTACTCTGTCGACCCAAATGTCGTTCTAACAACAATAATTACAACGATTACAAAACAAAACTTCAATTTTGTAGGTTCCTGGAGCAAAAACTCTCAAATACCAAACCAGTGACAAAAAGAAACCAAAATGCCCGAAAGAAGTGATATAAACAAACAAGTTCAAAGGCTAAGTAAAACAAATACATCCAAAAACAGTAAAATTATTGATGTACAGTAAAAAGGTTTTAATCGGCCAAATGTCTTCAGTTCTCCCGTAAGAAGTAGTTCATATGGGATATATATAGCCAGTCTAAGTGGAAAAAATATATGTATAAGAAGTACTGCAAACATGGTTGATTAACCAGAAAAAGAAATTATAGAACTCATCTGGGTTGCTTTTTGAATTCGCCATTATTGCCAGGGTTAGTTGTATGAGTTCACAGTACATGCTCACAGGGAATTTGTTCTATGTTTCCCTTCAACTTTTCTTTTACTTGTCTACCCTTTTTATGTTTTTGATTAACATCACTCATCAATTGTTAAGGAATACCCAGCTTATGTATCAAGTGTTTAAAAAAATTTAACATAACACTTATATATCAAAAGTAAAAGATCTGGGGAGTTGTGGGCAGTATAATATCGCAAACTGCTTTTTTGGAATGTTTTTGTTGGTTAAATAAAGTAGGTGAGATGGTATGAGGGAAAAATTTTTAAATAAACGTAGGACCTTATTAGATACGTGGTCAGATTTTATTCTACAGCCAAAACTGTCAGTATTCTGGACTGACTAATCGGATGTGCCCAGCTAACCGTTTTAATCGCTTGTAAAGACTT